AAATTGACCTATAGTTTATGTTTGCAAAGAAAGTTGTGAATAATGAGCTTTTTTGTAATCAATTGGCAAGTAATTGAATTACTGTCCACAATGTATTGCAACCCTAATTGGGCCCCTTGACGTTAAAACCTTGTGATTGATGTTGACATGTTTCTTCATCATGAATACCTGTTGCAAAACTGATACTGTTTGTATGTAAATAAACTGATAGTTGTATATAAGTCATTATGGCACACTGATATTTCAGATTTCTTGTTATTTTTTCATGGGAACTGATAAAACCCATTTTTGGCCCCTCTACATTGAAATTATGGCCTCAGATCATTTAAAAAATAGCTTTTTTATGCAAAACCATCTTGTCTCTAAACAAATAACATGTGTTCAGCCAATTCTGTTTGTGGGCCAAAAACCACCCTTATCATACCTTGTCCTTTGGAATAGAAGGGTGGTTATCAACAATTATTTCCGTGAATAAAATTGGCGGCGACTAAACTTAGCGAGTTCACGGCTTGAATTGGGGCGAGTCGATTGTCATACAGTAGGGGAGAACAATAATTCGCTTGAAAAAAATCAAATAATTGTACTTGGTCACAGTATAAACTGTACTTTTTTATATTTATGTATGCTACTTGCTACAAATACAAGCATACTGGTTCCTGAAATAAAGCTTTTATGTTGTTGAAAATGTCTTATTTTGTTCATTACACAACCTGTCCCTCATCGGGACGATTCTAAGCGATTTCCAGGCAAAAGGCCCCTTCACGCCTTGTGTTCTTGCGTACCAAACAGTTCGGTTTTAGAGCGCTTATCAGTCGTGTTAGAATGAAGACAAACGCGTTCGGTTTTTAAATTACATTTAGCGGTCTTAAATCAACGATAAAGGACCGCAAAATTGAAAACAGAGTAGCTTTATCTTCTAATTATCACCTAGGCGTCCTGATAATAGAGTTTGCAATTGTGAAACCAATGGTTGAAATCATGAAGAAAGGTTCATTATGTATACCCCCTTTAAGCTAGGTCACACATTGAAAGCTGCCGGTTCTCATGACCGGGATTGGATATTGGTTATCTCACTGCGCCAAAACTCCATCAGGTTTGAAGCTCTAGACAAATGTTTTTCATGCTTTTCACGTGTATCACGTCCTTTTAGTTACACAATGTGCCACACTTAAAGAATGAAATAACGTAAAAATACAATTAATGTAACAGTTCGTCTTGCAATGTGTGCAATGTTTGGTCTTTACTCTTGCGTACCTTCAATCCAAAGTGACCTACATGCACGAAATTGCAATATGCAATAATTTGTAAAATCCCAACTATGTAATTGCATATATTTCCGAACACCCAGCCTTGATGTTTATCAGAACAACATTTTTGTACTAATCGGATTCATCTGCGTGGAAAGATTAATATTAATTTGTTTATGTCTATTACACATGGCAGACTAACTTCGCCGACTATATATTGTATGTAACATCTTTTATTGTTTGATGTTTTCCATCTCGTACAGCGGGGAGTGTTTGAACAGCACGAGTATAAGACGGGCATATTCTGGATGCACTAACGGCTTATTTGATCATGGGCAGTGTTTGTAATAAAAGCAGTAAATCCCTTAGACGCACGGTGAGGGTGTTTTACGTACGCAGGTGGATGCCTCAATGTGTTTACTCCTGTTGCTTGTTCTTCGGATTGCTTCGGTTTTTGTTACGAATGTCAAACCTTTGGATAAGACCGAGAAAAACTAAGCCAAGGCTGTTGCCAGATCGCATGTTCTGCTGTAGATCAATACATTCATGGGGGCATCGATGCAAATTATGGAGCCTAAATGAATTCAAGGCGTATCACATGTATTGATTCAGAAATATTCTATTCATTGGATTTTATCCGTAATCTGTTTTTTCCAGAGAATATTACTTATCGTTATTGACTGTCTTCTTGGAAACTATTGTTTTTATCACTCCTAGTACTTTTGAGAGACTAGTAAAAGCACGTTTATATGGTAACCTTTCTTACTGGTTCAAGAATAGACACAGGTAACATACTCGATACTGATGGTTTGGCTGCTGCCAGGCGTTTTATGACTAAGTGGAAGAATGAGAAAGTGTCACTCGGCAGTCACATCGAGATTTTTGTCTTTCCGAATACGTGAATAAAGACAGATCACATGTCAGAGCTTTGTCTTTCATTATGTTGATGTGGGGACACCTAGATTATATAATTTAGGTAAATAATTTCGATTCTGTCAGATTCGATTCGATAGACTGTCAGTTCACCTGTTAGGGACCTGGAATGGTCCCGAAACGTCGTGAGGGAAATAAACAAAACCAAAAAAACAAAAGAAGTTTAATCCATAAAAATATCTTGGACATCTATGTAGAACTTCTAAATGCCACTGAAAGACATCAATTTCGAGCCTTGGTTTTCAGGAAGTTTGTAGTATTTGGTAAACACTGGATATATCAATTACGTCACACAGAGTCAGTCGGTTACCTGCGACCATCCAGTTACGTCTTACTTGTTTTATCATTGATGTATCCACAAGGTTAACTGAGGCCATCCTCACATGGATACTATATATCAGACATGCTTGACATTCTGACAAGCATCCACAACTACAGTCTTATATTTTTCCTCTGAATTGTGGTGATGACACTTTATATCCGAGTACATTCTAATCGCACCGTCATAAGCTGATTTGCTCATGAGAACATTCAATGTCTTACAAGCCCAACTCCAACCCCATTCCATCCATGTTACGGCGGGTTTTATAAAAGTGATATTAGGACAAACGAGTGGTTGATAATATGAGCAACATCATTGAATAATTATGAACTATGTGATCAAAATATCATTAACACTTGTAATATCTTTAGAGAAACATTGTTTACTGTTTTAAACTACACATTGAGACATGTATATAACTAAAATATTCAAAGCAACCCTCCCTTTTCGCTTGATTTGTCGGTAACGTGTAGTCTGTGTTGAGTCCAATACAGGAGTGAATGAGTGAAACGCCCACCACAAGCAACCGTGAGCAACCGTTTCATTAATCATTTAATCCATTGTGTTATTCATTGGCATTTCAAACTTGTGAGTTTTTTATTCACCGCCAAAGCTGTTGATCCAGTTCAACTGGTTGCCTACACCTATAAGTAATCAATCAGGTTGAAAGGAAATATGATATGTGGAGCAGATTGTGCACACTTTCCATTGTGACTTGTGTATGAGGCGGTATGATTAATTGAATCGTTTGATGCAGATTTATTTACAATGTACACATGATATTATCAATATGAAATGTAACACTTATCAAATGTGCATGTTTGAGTAAGTGTCATTTACGCCGCTTTGAGCTACGTTCTAGAAGTATCACGTTGAAGGCAACACATCACGTTGAGTGCAACACATCAAGTTGGGGGTAACACACCACGTTGGGGGCAACACATCACATTGGGCGTTGGGGGCAACATATATATACGTTGGGGGCGGGCGGGGGTGCAATACATCGGGCTGGGTGCAAAACAGCACGTTAGGGCAACATATAACGCTGGGGCAACATATCACGTGGGGAGCAATACATCACGTTGGGGGTAACATATCACGTTCGGGGCAACGCATCACGCGTTGTACCAGGCCGGGCATCAAACCGGAACCACCAGGGGAACGAACGAACGTTTTGATAGGTAGACTACCCAATTGCATCAATGATTGAAGAGTGAGCGTAAGACCAACATGGTTATATTATATCGTAGAATGCAAAACTAATACAGATTCATTACCCACAACGGAAACATGAATCTAATCATGTGCAGGTGTTGGTCTGATGTTTCCAATCAGATATGATATTGAACAGTCATGCAATAACCACATGCATACTCATTGCTTTAAACCTTGTACAGTACATCTGGTTCAGTTTCCACTGAAACCGTCAGAGGTAATATCACCAAAATATGTCAGTTTGTATGTCTAGAAACATTGCATTCAATTATCGTTTCTAATTTACTATTTCAGGATTAACCAGATTCGGGCTAGTGAAACGCAAAATGTCGATACAATAGTGAGTGGGTGAGTGTGTTTAACGCCGCTTTGATCCGTATTCGAGTTTAATCAGGGCGTCAGTTAGACGTCACGCCGAGTAACGGTAGTTGCGCTGACATGCCTAGAAACGTAACGGGGGTGAACCGGGATTCAAACCCATGATCAGCGGTTCCTGGTGTACCCAAGGGCGATAACTGATACAATACGTGTATGTGGTTGTCTCAATGCGAGTCTTGTAGCACAATAGGCAATAACATACACTGTACTTACTGTGCTGTATGCAAATGTCCATAACAATATCATATCAAATGACAACATAAAAATACATGATCAGTGGTTTCTGGTGTGCCCAAGGGCGATAACTGATACAATATGTTTACGTGGTTGTGTCAATGGGATACTTGTAGCACAGGCGGCAATAAACACACCCTGTACACACTGTCTTGGATGCAGATGTACATAATATTATCACATCAAATGATAATATATTGGAAAAGTAGCTGAGGCAAACACATTCTGGAAGACCGTAGCGCGAATCAATGTAATACTGAAACTGGACTATACGTAATGCTGTTTCATTCAGATCTGGGAAGAACACCAAGTACACTGTAATTCTAATACAATAATATAATCTTTCAAACTGTAACAGTGTTCCACGCAACTATTTGCTTGCCTCAGATAAGGAAACACGAATAGTTTCGACGTGTTATATATTTCCCTTTACAAAGGCAACTTCAACATGTCTTGATGTCCTATATGGTCCTATCGAGTCTAGTCCTATGTTTACTATCCATCTCAAGTAGTTGTCCTAGAAACTGTTTCATCAACCTTGGGGAAAGTGGTAAATTGTCATTGATTATAAGAAAAGAGGCAACCCAATCCTGTAGAGTTTGGGAAAACTAATTTATGTCTTAATTACAATCGAAACCGACATGAAGTCAGATGAAATGCATACCACTTACCACTGAAGAGACGACGGGTCTTCATCGCGCCAATCATAACAGCCTCTATCGCCAATCAATGCGATACATCCAAGTTGTCCCTCATAAAATCCATATGCTTAATTTTGTCATTTGATGCTGCAGACATTGTCTGTAAGGCAGTAACTCACTCCGCTGCAGGTAACACCACGATGGACAAAAAGACACACCAATCGATGAATCTGGATCTCTGAAAGATAAATAAAAGTGAAGTGAATACGGGCGTCTGGACGGAGACCGTCTCAATATGACATCGATGACTTTCCCGAAAGTCTTCAAACAAATCAATTTCACGTGCACTTCACGATGTCATGTGTCAACATTCTTTACAACTTATGCAATTCTTTGGTAGTACCATGCGGAAGGTTTTCTCCTTCTTGGCGGTTGTTCGAGGAACTGCCTATGCCGCCGAGAAATTCCGATCGTTATCGCTCCGATTGGCTGCCCACAGCAATGAATACCTGACAGCGACGAAGCCTCCGCTTGACTACCAGTGTAGCCGAAGTATTGCAGGTGTGTTTGATAAGCTTGGAGGCGTCGGATTGCAAACTGGTCGCACGCGTAATAAGGAGCATGTGTTGAAAAAATACCACGTGATCAGCTCGATCACTTCCGTGTGAATGGAGTTGAAAATGATAGAAAATTTGGCTTATGGATGGAATTACCGATCTGATAGAATTATTTTAAAAAGTAATAATGAGATGCCTAACGCATGGATATGTAAGGATGAATGCAACTTTGTCTGAGGTTTATGAGATAGAATGGCGTGCTGGAGTATACTACTGATCCCATTGGCATTTAAATTTTATTTACGTGTGAACTACGAACAGCTTATAACGAACTTATGGATGTGACTAATTGCTCTTTAGTCCCAACCACTTAATGAATAGTCCCAACCACTTAATGAATAGTCCCAACCACTTAATGAATATTTAATCTAAGTGTATATAACGAACTTTGGTTATAACGAATTACATTTCTCGTCATAACCTTAGTTTACTGTGTTTTTCTCTACGTTAGACCTGTTTATTCGTCTTACGATGCGACAAAGTGAATCGGGTGGTTAACATGGCGGATTAAGTTTCATTGCACCCGAGGGGACTGTGGGGTAGTCAAGTGGTTAAAGCGTTCGCTCGTCAGGCCGAAGACTCGGGTTCGACTTTCCACATGGATACAATGTGCGAAGTCCGTTTGCTGTGTACCCCGCAGTGATATTGCCGGAATATTGCTGAACAACCAAACTCACTGGACCCTAACGGCTTTTGAAATTCACAATGCTCATAATGTCAGTCACGGGGTCGTCTACAGTCGAATTATTTATCCGCACTATTTAAACAACACCTGAAAGCAAAATATATATGTGTTGTTTCAGGAAAGAATTGAGTTAAAACATCAATGAAGGTGTCTATTCGTTCATTTTATTATCCTTATTGTATACGTTATATTAATGCTGCATATAGACTACATGGGGTTTGGCTGAAAAGTTCTGAAGGTAATAGGTTTTCATGTGTTTAGTTGAATAGATTCCTTCCTTACAGCCTGCATTTAACCAAGTGTGCAACAGGGTAACATATGTCTCCAGTCTTCAAACTGACAAGGTATTTTCTTTCAATGTAAACTAAAGATGAAATTGGTGGTGTCATAATAAAAATAAGTCATCTTCTATAGCGCACAGTCTCCAAACACCAAGTTGATTATTATTACCCCGGATAACCCAAGCTGCCCGTTCGGTGCTAGAAGGAACGTTATAGTCACGTGAGTTTTTCCAACCGTGTACCCATTATCTGCTGGGTGAACAGAGGCAATTTTGAACAAACTCACTAGCCTAAGGTGAGACCACATGTATCACATGTGCTTCGTTGTAGGGCAGGACCGAAGTCTTAGAAACTCGCAGGAGTCAAGCTATCAAACACGGTCACCCATCTAAGGACCCTCCGAGCTCGACGTTGCTCAACATCAACGGATTCGTGACCTGAGCTTTACGCACAGGACCAAACACCGCCACTCGCGTCATCAAGCATTTCCAACAATCGCCATCCACGCAGACATGGTGTTGAAGGGTTGACTCTGTTTCTACCTATGCAACTGTAAGAGATGGGTAGCGGGGTTCACAGTGCCAGTTTGACAAACAGATGAACGGGAGCCCCTTGAGTAATTAAGTTGGAGGTCGAATGAAGGCTATACTAGTAATATGTACATGGTCAAGGCCGGTATTGTAATTGGACGAGAGAGTATATTTCTGTTACTGAGTGACCCCCATGGCGGACACGCTGCGTTTTTAAAGTGGTACGAGGGTTATCCAAAAGTCGGCGTTAGTACGTTTGCATAAATATTGTTTTTCCCAAGCTTAACAGGCTGCATTTGAACCGAAACTGGGGCAGCATTGCAGTCTATTTCTGCAGGCATCACAGTGACAAAATATTCTCTGTTCATGAAAAGGGACATAGTTACTGCGCTATTATCACGTACAATTTACCTCAGACTGAAATTGCCCCAACAGCCATCATGGAATCAACTTCATGGAATGATACCCCATTTGTGCCACTGAAAAGAGATGGGCAGCGGAGTTCTACAGAGGAAGAGAGAGCCGCGAAGATCCAAGGTCAGAAAAAACAAAACTGCCACAAATAAGGAAAATACATGATATTCTTACTGATTATCGACGACTCACGTGACACATAGCCATCACAGGAGGCACCTCTCATTTGAGAGATTTGAAGAGATTTGAAGATTCCCCGTAATGAACAAGGCATGGACGCATGCTGGGGGGCTCTGACTCCAGATCAGAAACGCTCCAGGTCTATGATCCCTTCTGGGAATTTACGTCGTGTTGAAGCAGACCCAGCGAAGAGTAACCATAGAGGTGTCTCGGTTCAACACTATAAACCACAGACGACACAACAAAGGATTTGTGGAACATCTAACGGCTCCTCTTCGGAAAGAAAGCAGTGTCTGTTCCATCAGCTGTCCAAATGACTGCTTCGGGTTTCTGGTATTCAAAGACCCTTGTGGTTTACTATGAGACGACTAAGCATTAATGGTCAAATATGATATGAAATTGATAAGCAAGCGTATGTGATCGAGGATTAAGGTCGTATGTTTGTTTCACCGGGACAATGCCCTGTGTAAAAGCAATGGAAGACTCATTCATTGAACACACTCGGTATCTACAAGACATGGTACAGTTAGATTTCCACCTCTTCCCATAAAAAAAGAAAGAACTGTCTGATAGTCGCTATGCAAATGACGATGGCGTCAATTTAGTTGTAGGGAATTCTTCACGGTATTCAAAGCCAGAGAGATCAAGACTCTCCAGCATCATTTGCAAGCGCATGTTGAAGGCTGTATGTTGAACAATAGCCTCACGTTGAGTCCATCATCCATTTTTTAGATATATATCATACACCCGTTTGTTCATTATAACAAACACCGCCGTGTAATCATTATACTAAGTAATGAAATATCGATTCGTACATGTGTGGCGTATTATGCACATTTTACATCACTCTTTAGGCAGTACGCTTGGATGGCGGCCTATTTACATATTCATATATGTACTTTGGCTCTTGTGTGACATTCAGTGAGAGAAAATTACTTATCACAGACAGAATGATTACAGAGAGAGAGAGAGAGAGAGAGAGAGAGAGAGAGAGAGAGAGAGAGAGAGCGAAGATAGAGCTGTTTGAAGTAGTCCGCCTTCCTGCCATTTCTGTAATGCTTTCTCACTGAGATATCATGTCGGCTTTATTACCTGGATACCCCATTCAGTCACATCATGTAGGAGTGTCCTACCACCTCTTGGGGCCGGACCACCGCCGTGATATTGCTGGAATATTGCTAAAAGCGGCGTAAATCCATACTCACTCACTCTCTCTTGGGGACAGTGGGTTAGCCTAATGGTTGAAGCAGTTTCAGCAATATCACTGCGGGGGACACCAGAAATGAGTTTCACACATTGTACCCATGTTGGAAATCGAACCCGGGTCTTCAGCGTGACGAGCGAACGCTTTAAACCTAGGTTACCCCATCGCCCCTTTGGAATAAGTAACCTGTATTTGGAATAAGTATTATTTACCAAGCGAACACAGTTATTATTTGTTTTTTTCCTAATATAATTGCATATTTACATTGTTTACGACTTTGAAGGTCCTCATCCGTGCAAATTACAAACACAGATTTTCTGTTACGTAGATTAGTATTTTAAAATTGATAACACTTATCGTAAATTTTGACTGATTTAACCACACATGACCCTATCTGATTCAGTTGGCTATGTATCACCGAAAACGTCTCTGTCAAATATGCACATTGAAATGTCAACACGAATTTGCAGGCATTACTGTACTGAGTACATTACACGTACATCATCTTGGGACTGCTGGGATAGCCTAGTGGTTAAAGAGTTCGCACGTCACACCAAAGACCCGGGTTCGATTCCCCACATGGGAAGAATGTGTGAAGCCCATTTCTGGTGTCCGCCGACGTAATAATGCTCACTGTAGCCATGGTTATGTGTCCCAAAATATCAGCATTATACAACACTTGGAAGTGTTGTTTTCACGCACTGTAGCCATGGTTATGTGTCCCAAAATATCAGCATTATACAATACTTGTGTAATAAACATCAGAAAACCTAGTTCTCACATGTCGGATATCATTCACACTAATATTTCAAAATAGTCAGCAACCTAAGTATTTGACGTTTAAGGTGCGTCCAAAAAGACAAGTACTTAACTCGTACTTTCTCATCAACATTCTAACGACAGAGGAACGTTTGTCGTAACACATGTCGTACAAATCAATGTCTACACTTGGACCTTATCGTGATTATATTCTCACCAGACTAGCGTGTGTATATACATTGTACACACCTGGCTTTCAATGCTTACACTAATCAATATTAACATCTGTTTTCTCTCAAGTTTGTTAAACAACGTCCAAACCAAAAACCAAGTGGGGTAACTGCTGTGTAGTGAGGTGAGGTGAAATTGGGTTTAACGTCGTGCTTGAGAATGTTTCGCTCATATGACGACGTGCATGCGTGTGTATGTGTATGTGCGGCTGCTTGTACTAGCCCAGACTGAAGCTGGTTTTATAGTGCTAGCCCACTGAGATACCACGCCGCAGTGAAGCATGGATACCCCACTCAGACACATTATACTGACTCCGAGCCGACCAGTCCTTGTTGTACCCATTAATGCTGGGCGCCAGACAGGGACCAACAAGTACCATATTTTAACGTCCATGACGCGGTCGGGGATCGAACCCACTACCTTCCGCTCTCCGGGCGGACGCTCTAACCACTACACCACGGAGGCGGTCTTGCTGTGTAGTAACGTGGGGCCTTGTATTCATCTGATCTCGGGAAAGTCCTGAAGATCACATTACATTTCATCTTGGCCTCGTGGGTATTTCACCAACTCCACCGCCCATCAAAACCACTATGCATGTACAGCGCCTTGAGCATGCACTAGTGTGTGGATA